TCAGATCCCTCAGCCGTGCTGCAGAGCCACGGGCAGCAGCACAGCGCAGCCTGGCCGCCCCTCCAGCCCCCCCCCCCCCCCGCCCCCCCGCACCCACCTCAGCCGTGAGGTACTCGAGGATGGCGGCGCTGTACACGGCGGCGGTGGCGCCGACCCGCCCGTGGCTGGTGGTGCGAGTCTTCAGGTGCCGATGGATGCGGCCCACGGGGAACTGCAACGGGGGAGAGGAGGCTGAGAGGGGCGGGCGGCGGCTGGGGGCCGCGCGTCGGGAGCATCCGGCCCCGCCCCGCCCTGCGGGCACGGCCTGAGGGCGAGCGGCGAGCGGCGGAGGAGGCAGGGCAGGGAACTTCACCTTGGAGCGGGGGAAAAGGCGTGGCGGGGCGCCGTGGCAGCGGCGGAGCGGCGCTTACAGCACTGAGCCCGGCACGGATGGCAGCGCCGCGGCCGCCGCTCGTTACCTGCAATCCGGCTCTCTGCGAGCGAGACACCGCCTTCGCCTTGGCCTTCCCGCTGTCCTTCCCGGCCTTCCCACCTGCCTGCGGGACGGAGAGCGCGGTCAGCGCGGCGCCCGGGGCTCTGCGCTCCTTGGCTGTGCGGCGCCAACGGGGGGGGGGAACGGAGCGCCGCGGGCGGCTTTGGGAGAGGGGGGACGCGGGGCTGCGGAGCGGCGGCCGAGGGCAGAGCGGCTCCTCAGGGAGCGGCGGCCGAAGCGGCAGAGGGCCGAGCTCCCGTGTGTAAAGGCTGAGGGAGCCGGGCTCGTTCCGCTTGCAGAACGGAAGGCTGCGGGGCGAGCGCAGCGCCGCGTTCAGCACACAAAACCGGGCCCGGTTTGACCGTTTGTGAGGGCGGGTGGCGACGGGACGAGGGGAGCGGCGTTCAAGTGAGACCGGGGAGGTTGAGGTTGGAAGCTTTGCAGCCAGAGGGCGGCGAGGCGGTGGCACAGGCTGCCCAACGAGGCTGCGGACGCCCCGGCCCTGCAGGCGTTCGAGGCCAGGCTGGATGCGGCTCCGGGCTGCTGGTCGGGAGCTGCACACAGCGGGGCTGGAACTGATGGCCGTCGTGCGGGGGGCAGGGGCCGCAGCCGCTCTGGCAGCGCCAAGCGCAGCAGGCCGGGCCGTTTCGGCCGCTCTGCCCTTCTCCCCTCCCTGGAAGCGTTCGGGCCCGAATTGAGGCTCCTGTGCAACGCAGGGCGTCCTGTGATGCCGTGAGCACAACCGCCCCGTCCCATCATTCAGGGCTCCATACAACCCCTACCGGAGCACGTTACCCCTACAGCGCCGTGCCGCCTCCCCACAGCGCTTTGTTGCACAAAACCCGCATCCCTGCGCAGCGCCCCGAAGGAAGCACAGCCCAAACAGCGAACAAAAACCCCTCCAGCAAAGCTGCAACGGGAAAGCGTGGAGTTCAGGAGCGGCGCAGCACAGCGTGGAGCTGACAGCCCTTGGAGCAGCGGCGCTTTGGTGCCGAAATGAGGCTTCGTGAGACTCCATAGGGATGTGAGCGCGGTGGGAAGCATCGGGGCGGGCTGCGTTCGGCACCGCGCTCCTGGCACGGGGCAGGAATACAAGGAACGGGCAGAGGGGGCGCAGGGCAGAAATCCAGGCTGTGGATGCAGGGAAGGGCCGGGCAGCGCGATACGGGGCAGGAGCCGCAGCCGCTCTGGCAGCGCCAAGCGCAGCAGGCCGGGCCGTTTCGGCCGCTCTGCCCTTCTCCCCTCCCTGGAAGCATCCGGGCCCGAACTGAGGCCCCCGCCGAGGTCAGACGGTCGGGACGAGCTGCCCCTGCAGGCCCCTTCCAACCGCCGTCCCGCGGCCGCTCTGCCCGCCGTCCGTCCCCAGCGCTGACGTTTCTCCTCTCCCCCTCGGGCCTTCCCGCCCACACGCAGCGCAACGCCCGCACGGTTCGGGCCCCGCGCCCTTCAGTCCTCGCCCCCAGCCCCGCTCCTCGCTCCCCCTCAGGCCGTCTCCTCGCCCCCCGGCCCCGTTCCTCACCATGGTGCCGCCGCCGGTCCCCGACTCCGCCGCTCGAACCGCCTCAGGAGCCGTCAGACAATACCCGTCCGAGCGCGAGGAGGGAGCCCGGCCTGCCGCGGCGACCCCGGGCCAATCGGAGCGCCCCGTACTGATTTGAACGTCCCGCCGCCGCCAATCGCCGCGCGGCTTGTTGGCCGCTCCGCTGGCCCCGCCCCGCGGCCCGTTTAACGGCTGTTTTTCCTTTGCACACGGCACGCAGAGGCTGAAGGCGGGGTGGGGGGGCGGGGGGCGTGTCCGACGGACCCTGCGGAGTGACGTGAGGACGAACCAATAGAAAGAGCCGTCCGCGCGGAGAGAAGCGGGGCAGAGAAGATGGACGGACAACTGAACCAATAGAAAGAGGAATAGCTTTCCCGCCCATTCTCTCGCCCCGCCCGGCGTGTTGTTTGTTTGTGAAGAGAAGTTGGGGGGGCTGCTGTCCGTCCGTTTCTTCTCCGCCTCTGTGAGGAGGGGCCGCGAGGTACCGTGAGGGAAATTCCCTCCGGGGACGGGATGAGGAACGGAGCGCTGAGAAGAAAGAGCCGCACAGTGACCCGGTCCACCCAGCACTGAGCCTCTGTGCCCACCAGGGGGCTGCAGCCCCGCAGCTGCCCCTCAGGACGGTGGAGCGCTGAGCATGCGAGCCTCCCAGCAGCGAGCCCCTGAGCTGCAGAACCGCACCTGCTGCCTGCTTACAGCCCCAGGATGGCGGGTGAGGTATGGAGCGCTGAGCAGAAGGAGGGGAGCCCCCCACGCTGATTGACCAGAGGGACTGCAGCCCCACAGCTGCCATGGGGGACCTGGATGAGGTACAGAACGCTGAGGAGAAGGAGGGGAGCCCCCTCAGTGCCCCCCAGCACCGAGTCTGAGTGCATGGGGGGAACCGCAGTCCCCACCTGTCCCAAAACCTGCAGCTGCTGCCTGCCTGCCTCCAGCCGCACAGTTGCCACATGGGGCATGGAGGCGATGGCTCCCAGTTGCCCCCCAGCACCGAGCCCCTGAACTGCAGCCCCACACCTGCTGCCTGCTTACAGCCCCATAGCTGCCACATGGGGCATGGATGAAGTATGGGGAGCTCTGAGCAGAAGGAGGGGAGCCCCCTCGGTGCCCCCAGCACTGAGACCCTGATTGCACCAGAGAGGCTGCAGCCCCACAGCTGCCCCAAAGCCTGCAGCTGCTGCCTGCCTGCAGCCCCACAGCTGTCGCATGGGACATGGGTGATGTACAGAGCACTGAGCAGAGGGGAGCCCCCTTAGTGCACCCCAACAGTGAGCCCCTGAGCGCAGCAGGGGGCTGCAGCCCCGCAGCTGCCCCCCAACCCACAACTGCTGCCTGCCTGCAGCCCCACAGGGCATGGATGAGGTACAGAACACTTAAGGACGGAGCCCCCCCTCACTGCCCCCCAGCACTGAGTCTGAGTGCACGGGGGGGGGGGGGGGGGGGGAGGGGAGGAGGTTGAAGCCCCGCAGCTGCCCCACAGGGTGTGGATGAGATATGGGGAGCACCGAGGAACAGCAGGGGAGCCCCCTCAGTGCCCCCCAGCACCAAGCCCTGAGCTGCAGCCCCACACCTGCTGCCTCCTTACAGCCCCAGAGGATGGCGGGTGAGCTATGGAGCACTGAGCAGAAGGAGGGGAGCCCCCTTGGTGCCCCCAGCACTGAGCCCCTGATTGCACCAGAGGGGCGGCAGCCCCACAGCTGCCCCAAAACCTGCAGCTGCTGCCTGCCTGCAGCCCTACAGCTCCTTCACAGGGCACGGATGAGGTACAGAGCACTGGGCAGAAGGGAGCCCCCCCAGTGCCCCCCTGCACTGAGCCCCTGAACACAACAGAAGGGGGGCTGCAGCCCCGCAGCTGCCCCCAGCCCCCAGCTGCCGCCTGCCTGCAGCCCCACAGCTGCCCCACAGGACACGGATGAGGAGAAGGAGGGGAGCCCCCCCAGTGCCCCACCACTGAGTCTGAGTGCATGGGAGGAACTGCAGCCCCCACCCCAGCCCACAGCTGCTGCCTGCCTGCAGCCCCACAGCTGCCCCATGGGGCGTGGATGAGGTACAGGGAGCGCCGAGAACGAGGGCAGCCCCCCCAGCACCGAGCCCTGAGCCGCAGCCCCACACCTGCCGCCAGCCCCACAGCTGCCATTCGGGGCGCAGCTGAGGTACGGGGAGCCGCTCGGCACCCCCGGCACTGAGCGCAGGGGGGGAACCGCAGCCCCACAGCCGCCATCTGCGATACGGAGGGGATGCGGGCAGCCCCCCATCCGCCCCCCATCCCGCGGCCCCTCGGCCGTCCCGGAGCCCCGCACCCCCCGCGCTGTCGGCTGCCGGCGGGGCTCCGGCCGCGGGGTCACGCGAGGTCTCGGAGCCCCGGGGCTTCGTGCGGCGGCGGCCGAGGCGGGGCCGGGCGGCAGCGCGCAGTGCGCAGGCGGCTGCCGTCCGTGTCCTCAGATGAGCCCGCGCGCCCGCGGGGAGCCGCAGCCTGAATGCGGCCGCGCTGCAGCGCATGCGTCACCGAGCGCGCGCACGTGCCCGCAGCCCCTCGCGATTCCGCTTCCCCCTGCTTCCTTCCATCCCCCCTTCTTTCCCTTCCCTTCTCTCCCTTCCCTTTTCTCCCTTCTCTCCTTCTCTCTCCCGGCCCGCCATTCCCGTCCTGGAGGCCCCGCAGGGCTGCGCCGCCCCCCGGTGCCGCTCCCCCCCCCCCACGCTGAGCCCCGACCCCCCAAACCCCCCGTAACAGAGCGAGGCCAGGCGACCGTCTGGGTTGGTTTTTTTTTGTGTTTTTTTTTTTTTTTCATTCACTTTTCCGCATACTTTTTTTTTTTTATTTGTTACAAACATACAATTCTTTAAATATAGACTGTAAAACTCCATTTGCAAAAATCTGCTACGGTAAGGAGTGCTCGCTAGCATGAGGAGTTCGTCACGTCGGGCGTCATCTTTCGCTAGTGGTAAATCCAGCCCTGCCTTCGGCAAACTCCGGCTTTCCCCGGCGCTCCCGAAGCCGCCCCGCCGGCCGCAGAGGAAGGGAATGAGAATCGGCCCCGCCGCCGTGGGAGAGGAGCCGGGAGCCCCGGCAGCCCCCGCTGGGCCGCGTAAAGTGCACGGTTTGCTTTTAGTTTTTTTTTCTTTCTTTCGTTACAAAAATAAGAGGAATAAAACTTTTTTTTTTTCCTTTTTTTTTTCTTTTTTCTTTTTTTTCTTCTCCTTTCGTCAAGGTTCTCGGGGGGGAGGTGGGGGGTTGTGAGCGGCGAGTCGCTCTCTCAGCAGATATCGCGCAGCCGCGCCCGGCTCTCCTCGCTCGCTGTTCCGCCGTCCCGGCTCCTCCTCCGCCCTCCGCCCGTCTCGTCCGCCTCCAGCCGCGCCCGTCGCCTCCTCGCACGACGGGCCGAGCGCCTTCCCACGCGGCGGGCCCGCAGCCGGCAGCAGCCCGGTGCCGCAGCCCCGGGGGGACGCGCGGCCGTCCCCAAAACCTCCCGGCACGGAGCCGCCGCTCCAGCGGCCACCTCCTCCATCCGTGGCAAATATCTGCTGAGAGACGGCCGCCGCGCCGCCCCACGTACCATCACCATTCGCTTCACGGTGCTTTTTCTTTTCTTTCTTTAACTTTTTTTTTTTTTTTATTTTTTTGTTTTTGTCTTCTATTTTAAAAGGGAAGCCGGCGAGGCGAGGAGAAGCCGCCCCTCGGTGCGGAGCGGAGCAGCCGGGGGAGCAGAGCGCCTGGGGGCGGCGCTGCACCGCTACGATGGGAGCTCCGTGCGGTGGGAGCTCCATGAGGGCAGCGCCATATGAAGGACGCTCTGCGGCCGGTCCTGCGCCGTCACCCCGCGGCGGCCGGGAGACGCGGGGCCGAAACGCAGCGTTTTCCGTTTTCTCTTGGGAGGGAGCGGGGAAATCGAAGCGGTTTTGATGTCGGCGGAGCCGTGGATTTGATTCTCGGCTGATCCACGCGGGCGGGCGGCCCGGCCGTCTGGGCTCTTTATTTACACGGAGTTTTGGGGCGCTATACAAGATTTACATTTCCGTTTGTACAGCAGATGCTTTGATAGAGTCGCGCTCTCCAAACGTCCCTTCTGGGGGGCGACAGAAATCTGGAAGCTCCACAAACCCGGCGTTCCCCTTCCGGCTAAAAACCTTTCGCCCGTCTCCTACAGAATCCAAGCCATCGAAAAAAGAAACCAAAAACCAAAAACCAAAAACCAACCAAGCGAAACAACCACCTCATATCTATACACACATGCGGGGCCGTGTGTATGCAGACACAGAAGGAACGGCCGAACCGCCGCCGCGCGGAGCCCGGCTCTGCCTGCAGCGCTGGGCCGGCTGTCATCGGCACGGGGCGCTGAAGCACCCAGGGTGCAGCCGGGCCTTCGCTCAGCCTCTGCTGCCACAGCCGGGCGCCGCTTCTCTCTTTGCTGCTGCGATTCCTTCCCCCGACGCGCTCTGCTCTCCTCACCGCGTGCCGGAAGCTCGGATGGAGCCGCAGGTTTCCGCACGCAGACGCGGCTCTCGGATCCTGGTGGCTGGAGCCGCCCGTGGCGCCGGGTGGGAGATGTGGGGCTGATGTGGGGCTGATGTGGGGCCGATGCGGGGCCTTTTGCTGTGGGTTTTGTTGTGGTTTTGTTTTTTGGCCTACGCGATGTTTTGCCTCGTCCCTTTTCCACGCGGTTCCCACGCGGCGCCACCGCGGAGTTGAGGAAGGCCAGGCGATCTCAGCCAAAAACAACAAAAAAAGGAGAAAAAACCCAAGAAGAATATATATATATTTTATATATATATATATATATATATATATAACCCTCTGCAAAAGGAGAGGGACCGCCCGAGCGGAGCAAGAACCGGCGTGGCTCCCAGCAACAGAAAGTCCGTCAGCACCGAAGCGAGGGGCCGCGGCGCTGCTCACACAGCGGTACAGCAGGACATCACCGACAGCTGCCTTACGGGACGAGTTACAGTACGGAACGGCGCCGCGCCGACACGCGGGGGCTGCTGCTCCCACAGGGCCTGGAAACGGAGTCCTGGTGTGATGGAGGAGAGTTAAAAACAGCCAGGAGGAAGAGAGTTCCGGTTAAAAATTCCCTTACAAAGGGGCGACGGAGGGCG